CCCCAAAACCCCAAAACCCCAAAACCCCAAAACCCCAAAACCCCTATTTAAACTATAAAAATGGAGGCTCCTAAATTCATAATTAATTCTTCCGGGTAACATAAATGGAGGTATCAAGTCCAGCCTGAATGTGGTTTACTAGTCAAACACAGAGCAATATTTTCTCTAATTATCATATTGGGTGGCTGAATTAGTAATCAAGAAGCCAACTCAGATGAGAGAAAATCGAATAAGTCTGCTCTTCGAGGCTGCTTAGATGTGAATTGCCAACTTGGAGAGGGTGCCCAAGGAAGTATATACTTGGTGACATATGGTGAGTCTGAGAAATTTGCCCTTAAAGTATGACGAAAGAAAACTAGTCTAAAATGAGCGAGAAACTATTCAATTCAAAATAGTTTTAAAGCTATCGAAATTTTGAACGAGGTCAAAATATTAGACAGTCTGAACCCTGCCTTTATAATAGAGTTCTTTGAGAAATTTGAAACGGAGAACTATAACTCTTTCCTGCTCGAGTTTTGCCAAGGAGGGGACTTACTACCCGACATGCACCCCTTGATTTATACTGTATACCACCTTCAGAAGGTCAACGAACAAGAAATAAAATTTTCAGAGTCGAGTGTTAAATTCTATATTAGCTGCCTTGCTCTTGAGCTTGACTATATTCATAGTAAAGGCTTTGTATATAGAGATCTTAAGCCGGAAAATGTCCTCCTGGACAAATATGGGTACCCCAAGATCTGAGATTTTGGTCTGTCAATCCAAATCCGACCTTAATTTCAAGACATGAAGAAAGCGATGTGGTACCAAAGAATATTTTTCCCCAGAAATTGTCAAACGAGAAGTTTATGGAAAAGAGGTGGACTGGTGGAGTCTTGGTATCCTAACTTATGAGTTTCCTTTTTAATGAAACCCCGTTTGAAGATGACAATATATTCGTGGAGCATGAAAACATAAAGACTAAAGAACCCTCTTATTGCACTAGGAATGATCTTAGTACTGAATGTATCGAGTTTATATCTCAGCTATTATCCAAGGATCAGAATAATAGACTTGGTAAGAATGGAATAAAAGACTTTATTGTCCATCCCTGGCTTGAGGATATTGACTTTAAGGAGCTTGAGCACCAAAACTCAGAGCCTCCATATCCGATTGAAGGAGTGTCTCCTTCAGAAACACATTTCTTCTGTGAAGAATACACTCAGAAGATGCTTGATTACCAGCTCGTACAGGAGATCAGCTAAGTCGAGTTTCATCATATCTTATTATATAATTAACGAGTCTCATTCTGGATCAGAATTTTCGGGGTTTTGGGGTTTTGGGGTTTTGGGGTTTTGGGGTTTTGGGG